TGTGTGTGTGTGTGTGTGTGTGTGTGTGTGTGTGTGTGTGTGTGTGTCTCGAGGTGGGACAGACACATTCTGCCGTGGCCCCCGGCAGACGGTGGGTGGGCCAGGGGCCGGGGGGGCGGGGCTCGGAGACTGGGAGCAGCGCCTGACTGGGGCCGGGCGGGCTGGAGAGGGAGCCCCGGCGGCGGCTGGCGGTGTCCCGGGAAGGGCCCAGGAGGCGGCCGCTACAGCACCATGGCAACGGCACAAAGCGCTGGCCTACTTACCCCGCCCCCCGCCCCCGCGGCGCGCCGGCACGCTGTTCCAGGAGAGGGTGCAGGGCTTGCAGGCATGGGGGGGGCTGCACACTCTGCCCTTCGGGGGCTCCCTGCCCTAGTAGCCTTGGCCCCCTCCTGGCCTGCCACCCACCCATGGGTGCTGGACCCAGCCTGTGGGTATTCAGTCTCCTGTTGCATAGAAGGGAGAGATGGGGTGCGGAAATGTCCAGCACCCAGTAGGTGCTCAGCCACACAAGTCCCTTCCCTGTCTCCTGGTGGCCTGTGGACTCAGGGGTTGCTAAAGACCTTTGGAGCCCCCCAGAAACCTCAGGGCTCTCCTTGCTGCTGTGGTGACAGCAAGCTGCAAAGTTCTCTGGATCCCGACCACAGGCCTCGGGTCAAGCCCCCCCCCCAGTGTGGGAGGGGGCAGCTGGGAGCACCGCGGACAGAGCTCTGAGCAGCGCATACGTCCCCTCGTGGGACAGGTCCCGCAGGAGGGCTAGTGCCCTCCCAGGACATCGGGGCCAGACTCCACTCACCGCAGGTGGGGCAGGTGGGGAGGGCGGCCATTCTTGGAGGGAGGACCACCGCCCCTGCCCCAGGGCCTGATGGCACCTGAACCTGCCTCCGGGACCCAAGCTGACTGTCCAGGGCCAGCTCCATACCCACTGCCAACAGCGGCAGAAAGCCTGCCTGGCCTGGAGCTGTGGGGGTGGGGACAAGTGTTTCCAACGCCCAGGGAGGCTGAGCAAAAGCCCCCGGAGGAGACCTGATGCATTCGTGGGGCAGCCGGAGGGACAGTCTGGGTGACCCGTGCTGGCTGCGCCCTGTGGCGGCCACATGGCCCCACTGCCACCCTGCCCCACCCTGGCCCGCAGGTCTCACCCAGCAGTCATCTCTGGGGCGGGGGCCATGCCCTGGGCAGTGAGGGCTGAGGCCCAATAAGGCCGTGAGGATACTCTGTGGAGCAGCAGGGGCCCTGCAGACAGGAAGCCCTTGGCCCCAGAGGGGGTGGGTGTCTTCCGACACCAATCATCTAAAACCCAATGTTTTCCTGCCCTCGCCTGGTGAGCTGGAAGGCCGAGGGGCGGCTCTGGGGGTCCACGTGCAGGCTCGGCCCCAGCCCTCTGCCCCGTGTGTCCCAGCTCCCCCTGGGGACCGGAGTCCCCGCCCAGCAGACATCCTCACTCCTTCACCCAGCAGATGCTCTCTGTGTCCCCGGGCCAGCGGGCCCACCACGGCAGGGATGAGTGAACGAGGCTTGGAGGGGCAGCCCTTGTGCACTGGTGTGTGAGTGGGGGCTGGGGTTGTCTGTGCGTTTGCACACGCGAATGGGTGTGCCCCGCCCCAGGCGCCCGCTGCAGCTGCCCTCCCCTCCTCCACCTCAGGCCCCCTAATTTATGCCATGAGGGGGGCCGTCCACTCACTTGTTCCCCGCCAGGCAGCGGCTTTGTCCCCAGGCGGATTCCCAATGGCCGCCTTTGGGAAGAAAGGGCCCTTCTCTGGCCGGCAGTGAGGTCACCAGGAGGGGCCGGACGCGTACAAAGGCCGCGGGCCCCCCACCCCCCGCCGCTGGCAGCTGCCTCTTTGTCCCCAGCTCTCAGCCTAAAAGAGACCCCAAGGGGCCCCAGCTCAGCCTAGGCCAGGCCTGGCCTTCCTCCTAGGAAAGTGGATGGCGTGGGGGAGGGGCTACCCCCTGGCTTGGCTCCAGAGGAGTGACAGCACCGGTTGAGGCGCAGACCTCACCCCAAACGCCATGCTGGGCCTGGGGCAGCTGTGGGGGGCTCGGGCTGGTGGGGGGGTATCTAGTTGTGCCCCCCCGGCGGGCAGGCAAGCAGGCTTCAGGGGTGGGGGCTTCAGGAAGGTGAGGGAGCTTGAGGTGTTAGGCAGCCCCGAGAGAGGGGCAGGCAGCTAGGCCCCTGGCCTGGGGGCGGGCCTTGGTCATGGGGGGAGGCTCGAGGCAATGCTCTTTGCACTCCGCCACTGAATCCAGCTTCTCCCCGGATCCCATGATGCCTGGCCTGTGCGTGTATTTGCTGTGTGTGTGTGTGTGTGTGTGTGTGTGTGTGTGTGCGCGCGCGCGCGCGTGTGCACGCTCACGTGTGCACGTGCACGCACGCACACAGGAGTGTGGTGGGGTGAGAGGGGCTGGTGGCCTGGCTGTGAGAGGAGATGGGGGAGCCCTGGTGGAGTGGCCCCAAGGGGCAGAAGGCGCTGGGTGGGGGATGGAGGGGTTGCGTGGTCAAAGGCCTGGTGGCCTGACCTAGGAGTTCAGGAAGGGCTGCAGGGTGGAAGGCCAGACACGTGGACACGTGGACCTCCCTTCCTAGCCTGCTGAGCCGCCCCTCCCCCGTCCCCCGCCAGCTGGTGGTACTTGGGCTCAGAGCTCCTTAGTAGTCTCTCCGCGGAGGGAGGAAGTGGAGCCTGAAGAGAGCAAAACAAAAGCCCTCTGCTCGTCCCAGACAAACAGAGGCCGGGCTGCACACTGGGGACAGCCGCTGGGGGCCCGTGGCCCTGCCAGACATGGCTGCGAGCAGAGCCAGCCCTGGCCAGACTCGAGGTGGGGGTGCCAAGCGGGCACCCACCAAAACCTCTAAGGTCTGCCCAGGGCCGCCTGAAGTCCCTGCATCTGCCCTCCGGGGGACCAGCCGGGAAGCACAATCAGAGGAGGCAGAGGCCAGGAGGAGGCGGCAGGCAGGGAGGGCTGGGTCACCCCAAGTTGCAGGAGCCCAGCTAGTGGGCCTGGGTCACAGAAGGCGCCAGGAGGGGGGCCGGCACCGGGAAGAGGCTGCACTCTACCCCAATGGGCCAGGCAGCCCCTGCACCCTCAAGTTTGGCGGGGGGGGGCAGAAGCGCTGGGGGGTGGCCCAGGCCTCCAGTCCCTGCCCCTCCCTGGGAAACAGCTCCTGCCCCGTTGCCTAGTGCCCGGAATGTCCACTGTGCCTGTAGCTTAGCAACACGCCTCAGTCACCCCTGCCGCCCCCACCCCACAGCCCGCTGCCCGCATTCCTGCGCGCCCCGAGTCTCCACGGGCCTCTTGGGTATCTAGCAGCTGGGGGCCCGCCCGGCCTCTGCGTCCAGCACCTGGGCGACGCGGCTGCTGGCTCAGGAGGCCGGGGCGCTGCTCCCTGCCACGTGCTGGCTCCCGGCTCTGCCCGAGACCAGGCCCATGTGCACACCTCGCCTCCTTCCCTGCTTCGGTCCCACTTAGGTCTGCTTTCTCACAGATGTCATGACAGTAGGGAGAGCCATGAGCAGCTTCTGGGGCTGGTGGGGGGACAGGGACGGGGAAGGGGCGTAGAGTCCCACGGGGCTCTTGGGTCAGGACAGTTGCCTGGGTGCCACCCACTGCATGCCAATTACACTGCAATGAAATGGATTTCTGAGCCATTTTCTGGGGGACAAGGTCAGACCTGTTAGCAGCAGTGGGACAGGGGCAGAGGGGTACAAGGCTAGAAGGAGGAGACAGGGTGGTCATCTGGAGCCGGAGAGGTCAGGACAGGCGCCACCTCCGGGGTGTGGGACGGAGCCTTTTCTGGGGCAGGAAGCGAGGGGCCCTGCTGCCCCCAGCTCCCTGCCCTTCCCCCACGCTCCACGCTGGGGCCACTCTGCAGGCCCAGCCTCCACCATAGCAAACCCACCTCTGGGTCTGTGGCCATCGGATCCGTGCCGCGGGGTGCAGAGAATGGATGGCTCACTGTCGCCCTGCCGGGGACCAGCCTGCTGCTGCCCGCCACCCCCAACCCCTTCCCTACACTGGAAGACCCTAGAGAAGCACCAGGGCCCTGACAAGAGGAGCTGGTGGCCCTGGGAGGGGAGGTTGAGAGTACTGAGTTTGAGCACCCTCAGGGGCAAGGATGCTGCTGGAGTCCAGAGCAAACAAATGGCTGAAGCAGCCTGGGGCGTTTTTCCTTGAAAAGAAGGTATCATGGGGCACGTGGGTGGCTCAGTCGTTGAGCTGAGCGTCTGCCTTCGGCTCAGGTCATGGTCCCAGGGTCCTGGGATCGAGCCCCGCATCGGGCTCCCTGCTCGGCGGGAAGCCTGCTTCTCCCTCTCCCACTCCCCCTGCTGTGTTCCCTCTCTCGCTGTCTCTCTCTGTCCAATAAGTAAATAAAATCTTTAAAAGATTAAAAAATAAAAATAAAAATAAAAGAAGGTATCACGGAAAACGTCAAAGAAATGCAAAAGCCGAGAAAATGCGCAGCCTTCCAGGTCCGAGGCCCCGGGCTTGCTCTCTCCCCTCACCCGGTACCGTGAGGCCGGTTTTAGCCTCTTTCCCCTTCCACAGTATCATTAACACACCTAAAAAAGTGCTCGTTCCTTCAACCCACGAAATAGCCACTCAGGCTTCCCATTTCCCAAATGTCTCATTTTGTGAAACGAGCTATTTGGTTTGTTCGAGGTGTGCGTGCAGCGTCGCCCAGCGGCCTCGCCCGCCACCCCTGGCTCGAGCACTGGGAGCCTCCGCAGACAGTCGTCTCAGGAGAAGGATTTGGGGACTTGACACAAACATTCCAGCCAGGCTGAGGCAAAATTAAGCTATAATTGACAACAGCATGGCCTTGGAGAGGGAGGTCGATGGTCTGGAAGCTTCCATGGAGTTGGCTGAGCTGCTTACGCTCAAGATGTGTTCAGTCTGCTTGTTTTAAGAAATACAAGATGGAAAAAGAGTTGGAGAGACATCAGGGCCCTCTGGCAGAGACCCCTGCACACCCCACCCCCAGGTTCCAAATTCTGTAGGTCTGGGGTGGGGCCAGGAACGTGCATTTGCACCGGGCCCCCCGGATGGTTCCTGGACACACCTGTGGCCAAAGGCTAGGGCCGGCTCTGCCACGGGGAACATGAGAGCGGCCTTGTGGGTTTGCAAAGAGTGCCTGGCCAGCAGAGTGGACGGAAGCCTGCCTTGTGGGGGAGGCCACATCTGACCTTGCTACAGAGACTGGAAGTCAGGAAGGGGTGCATGGCCTTTGGGTCCTGTCAAAGTTAAGGCCACTCAAGCATCTCTTACTCCCCCAAAATGCCTGTTTGAGTCCAGACATTCCTGTCTACACCCTGCCCCAGGACACAGTGATTTGTCTCTCGCCGGGGCGCCCGGACCTTGGGCCCACGCTCAGCTGTTGGGGACAGGCTGGGAGGGACCTGGGGACTGAGACTCAGAGGGTCCATGTGTGCCAAGGGCTTGGGTGGTGGCGCACACAGAGGCTTTGTGGGAGTGTGGGGAGGACGGGGGAGGGCAGGGGGATTCAGGGCAAAGGGCCCGAGGGCTTGGAGACACAGGAGCCCCCAGAATCCTCCCCACCGCCGCCTTCATCCACCACAGAAGGAAGGAGGGCCCTGGAGGGAGTCAGGGGGGGCTCAGGAGATAAAGGGCAAGGGGGGCCAGAGAGCAGAACTCCCTCCTCCGCCTGTGCTGGCTGGTGGCCAGGGGGGCTGGGGGTGGCCTTGCCTGGCAGGGAGGGGGTGCAGGGCCAACCCGCTCACAGATTCTCCTCCCCACCCTGGCCCCTCTGCTTCTTCTAAAAATGTGCCCACACCCAGCGTGTCCCCCTTTGAAGGGACAGATGTCAGGGAGAAAGCTGATTACTGTCAGAGGCTGGAGGCTGTGACCGGAGCTCTCGGTGAGGGTGACCCAATTCCGAGCTATTCTCAGCCTGGTGGGAGCCGAGTTATTCCCTCCCGCCGACGCGGCTCTTCCGGAGGCAGCCTGACTTTGAAATGCCCTCCTCCGCCGCCGGCGGGGCCCAGGCCGGCTCGGGGAGGAGGCCCGCGGTCCCACGCCCCGCCCTGCTCGCCCCCGGGGCCCCGGGCGCACCCACACCGCAGGGGCTCCCTTCCCAGCCCGCCGGGAGGGTGGGAGGGTAGGCTGCAGGACCCGCAGGTGCCCGCGGGACCGCTCGCCCCTCCTGCGCCTGAGCCCGAGGCCGCCACAGAGAAGGGAGGGCGTGAGCAGGGTAGGTGCGGGCAGCCCGCGGGCCCGGGGGGAGCAGCGAAGGGGGGCAGCGCCGAGTGCACAGCAGCCCGGCCCCTGCACGCGAACAGGCCTGGCTGAGACGGCCAGGGAGGCGCCCTGCCACAGACCTGGGAGTGGACAGGGCGCTGCTGGAAGCCTCCGGGGCGCTTTCAGGCGAGGGGGGGCGGTGTAGGTGTTTGTTAGGCCGGTGTCTGGGTGCGGGCTAGCACGCCTAACCCCAAAGCTGTGGAGGTCAACAAAGAGCCGTGGGCCCGTGGCCAGCCTGGGGTTCTTGCAGTTCTGTTTTATTACACACTTAACTGTAAGCACAGGGAGCGCATGAGCTGGATTTTCCAGAGAAGTCTCAAAGTCAGTCTCTGCCATTTATCCTGATCAACTAGTCAAGCGCCCCTGAAGCAAACAGCTATTCAAGGGCCTCACATTGCAAAGGACATTCTCCGATGGGACCCAGAAGCAGCCCCAAAATTCTGGCCTCGGAATCTGCAACAGAGACTGAGGGCTTCCTGGAGGCGGGGGCAGCGGTAGCTCCCACTAGTGATAACAATCATAGAGCTGTTCTAGGGTGCCAGGCTGGCTCTGTCTGGAGAGCGCACAACTCTTGATCTCAGGGCCATGAGCTCAAGCCCCACGATGGGTGTAGAGATTATTCAAAAAAATAAATTTTGACTTAAAAAAATGTATGTATCAGAAACGTTCTGTGAGGACCAACTGAGCAAACGCTGATGCAATACTTCATCTCTGGCACCAATTCCCCACCCCCATGCCAAGGCAGGCACTGTGTTCACCCTCCTCTCTGCCAGGATGGAGGTTGTCACCGTGGCACCACAGGGAGGACGGGAAGCAGGCAGGCTCAGAGCCTGAGCCCTTGAGAGCTTGTACCCCCCCCAGTGAAGGGCAGAGTGGAGTCTGGCCAGCCCCACTAAGGCTCAAGTCCAAATCCCTTGCCCCTCTGTGACTGCAGGGGCCACCTGCTGGCAGGCCTTCCAGACTGTCCCAACCCCCAACCTCCACCCGCCCCCTCAGAGTTTAACCCCCTTCCCTTGCTTTGCTTCCACCGTGCACGTCTCACCTGCACTCTGGGCCTGGTTCCCAGGAGCCCCGCAAGGGCAAGCTGGGCTGCCCTGAATGTCTGGGTCCTCAGTGCCAGAAGGGGATTGGTCTGCACTTGCTGGGGGGGGGGGTAGCACCCTGTGAGGCTGGCGAGGGCAGGGTTCTGAGGATTGGGCACAATTGGGCAGCCCCCCTCCCCACTCCCTCCTGAGGGCATCAAGAGCCAAGACCTCCAGCAAGGCTGCCCCTGGGGATCCTCTCAACTGACGCCCCGCCAGGAGGCAGGGCCATCCCCAGGCTGCCTCTGGGCAGACTGGGGCACTGTGTCTGGGCGGCCCGTCTGTGCTTCGAGCAGCCTTGCAAACAAGGCAGGCAGCTACCAGCTGGGAGGCGGTGCCCTCCACACCTACTCAAACTCCCCACTGGCACTCCCATCTTATTCTTCCTGGCCTGCCTGACGTCTCCTGCCCCAGGCCTGCCCACTCCCACCGGGCAAGGGCTCCTGCTCAGCCACCGATTTCCACCCGCCCTTCCAGCCCCCCACATGGCTGTCACCTCTTCTGAGGAGTCTTCCAGGATTACAATAGAACTCTCCCCTTTGGCCTCTGTGGTCACAACCTAGGAGACCACAGGGGGTGGGAGAGGGTCTGGGAGTCCCTGGTGGGCAGGCAGAAGCCGGAGGCCTGCATCCCAGTGAGTCTCCTCTCCTCTGGGCCTCAGTTTCTCCACCTGTGCAGTGAGCTAGTGGGGCAGGAAGAGCATCATCTCCCTGGGCCTGGGGTCTCACATAGTCTGCCTGCCCTGCCTTCAGCAACAGGTTAGAGGCAGGGGGCCCACATCTCTTGGAAGACAGAGGAGGGGGTGGGGAGGGAGGTTGGTGGGCCGCAGATCTAGACAGTAGGGGTGAGGGGGGCAGGTGTGGGGAAGTCTACCCACTGTCCTGTCTTCGTGGAGCAAACAACCCTTGTCATACTGCTTGACAGGGTGTGGCCCCCAGGGGCCTGGCATCCATTATATCACCCACCGCCTGTCCGAAATCCAGCCCCGGGCCCCAGGCCACGCCACCTCAGGGGCTCCTGCTAGAGGAGGCGAGCCCCTCACAGGCAGATGAGGGCAAAGCATGGCCAGGGCAGGGGCAGCACGTCTCAGGGCTGAGGAGGGCAAGGCCCAGGGGACTTCCTGGGGGCAGTGGCTGGAGCCAGCCTCTACAGAGGCCGAAGCTGACTCCAGCCCTGTTGGTAGGGCAGGATCCTGGGCTGGGGCCCTGGGAGTGGGTGAGCCAGGGGCTCTAAGCCTTCGGGCGGGCAGCCGTGGGGGCAGTGAGACGTGCGACTGGGCGGGTCCAGGAACTTCCAGGAAAAACTGAGCATCCCTGGAGTGTCGGGGTGAATCCTTGCCCTGTGACCAGCCCCATGCCACTGACTCTCGGAGGGGATGGTCACTGACCTGCTGACCCCGTCATGCACTCACCATGGGCGCTGGCCCTGCCTCTGGACATGGGCTCCCCTTCTGCCAAATCGGGGCACTATTCAGCGTTGGGGTCGCAGGCTAGGAAACGTGAGGGCTGAGAACGGTGGAGCAGGATGCTCCTGCCTGAGGCTGGCGGTGGCCAGCAGAGAGACATTTGAGGGGGTCTTACAAAGGGTGCACAGGAGTTCCCGGGGGGCTTGGGGCCACACGGAACTCCAAGCTGAGGCCGAATGGAGCCTGGATGGCTACCTGGGATGAGGCTGATGCCGTCTCATGTGGGGCCTGGCAGCACAGCTGAGGGGCTGGAGGGCCCCCCCGGACTTCAGAGCTGCCCTGGGCCAGGTACGCGTACGAGCAGGGGCAGGCGTGCAGCTCTCCTCACCCAACCCTCCAGCTCCCACAGGCCCAGGGCTGCCCAGGGCTGGAGTCTAGGCCACCATCCTCAGCCCCACATGGAAGAAGGAGCACGCATGGGCAGGCCCGTGTGCTCTGCAGAGCATGCGGGGTTATGCCCTGCGTCACGCATCTTGCTTGCCTCTCTCCAAGGCCAGGGTAAGGCACAGGTCCCTCCTCTGTCCCCCAAGCTAGGCATTTGCTCAGAGCTCAGGACAGGTCCTGGGATGGAGAATAAGAATCCTGGGCTGGTGGTTTCAGGGCCGCAGAGGAACTCTGATGGGACTCAGGTCCTGCTAGGAACCTGGGCAGGAGAGGGGAGGCCCCCCAGCCCTGTAATGCTGCCCCCAAGAGACCAGTCCTCCAGTAGGCCCACCTCACCCGGCACCTTTGCAAGGACTCAGGCCTGGGTGTGGCCTGGGTCTGGAAGGGGGGCCGGGTGTGTGTGTGTGTGTGTGTGTGTGTGTGTGTGTGTGTGTGTCCGTCCGTCCTTCTTGAGTTCTAGGCCCTTCCGGAAGCACAAGAGAAGGCGCCTGCTATGAATGAATGCAAGGCCAAGCCACGCTCTGAAGGGAGGGTCCAATGCTCTGGGACGGACGGACACACACACACGCACGCACACACACGTGCACACACGCGCACGCAGACCCCCCTCCTCCTCCCCCACTAGGACAAGTGGCCCTTTCTGCGGCTGAGTGGGGGTGGCCACACACTCGCCCCTTTGTCCATCATGTCCCAGGCTGCTGTCCTGGAGTCCAGGGCCCCTGGGACAGGAAGAGGAAGGAGCAGGGGCCGGGGCGCTGGTGTGGGGGGAGGCCCGGCCTGGACACTGGCACGGGGGGCACTGAAGAGACCAGGGAGCACGGCAGCGAGAGTGTTTATTGCTCTGCCAGGCACGGTCAGGAGCCAGCCCCCTGGCGGCACACTTCCCTGGGGCTCTTGTCTTACTGTGGAAAACGGAAGCTCTTGAGGACAGTGAGGCCAAGGGCAGACGCTCAGGCCCTCATGCAACCGAGGCAGGCAGGGATGCCAGGGACCCGGCCCAGAGCTGGAGACCAGGGCCAGGCAGGTGACACGGAGTACAGCCCTCCGTCCTGGACGCAACCCCGTGCCCCCAGCACTCCTGTGAGGGGGCAAGGGCACCCAAGCAGCCCCGGGGCTGGACAGCCAGGGTTCCAACAGCTCTGAGAGGGTCGGGCCGGGCCACCTGAGGCACTTTACCGTCCCCCTCAGGCTCCTGGCTAAGTGGCGCTCTGTTCTCAATGACACGCCGGGGCTCTGGCTGGACCAGGGCCACGAAGGCACTTCCAGTGGCAGGAGAAGCGCGGCAGACGGGCAAGGCTGCCCGGGCCCTGTCCCTCCCATGGGAGGGGGTACAGGGCACTCCCACTTGGCCTATAGGGTCCTCTTGGCGGGGGGCCTCAGGCCTCAGGCCGCCCAGCAAGCCCACCTCTCCCTCCCCCAGCCCAGCACCGTCAGCTCCCGAGGGAAGAGGGGCTGGCCCACAGACCCGGTGGTCCTCCTCCTCCTCCTCCTCCTCCTGGCTCCCTCACCCCCCTGCCAGTTCGGGGCTACCTGGGAAGGGGTCAGGGCCCCACCACCTACACCCCTTGGCCTCAATAGCCAGAAGAGCCGGTGACAGCAGAGACTCTGGAAACAGACAGCAGCAGAACAAGGGGTGATGGGCGGGAGACCTTCCCACCCGGAGAGGCCCCCAAGCCCTGCCCCGCCCCGCCCGCCACATGTTCTGTCTAAACACAGGCCCCAGCAGGCGTGCACTGACCATATAAGGTGGCCTGTGGCTGAGCTGCCCCCCTGCCCCCTCCGCGGGTTCTCGGCTCCCTGCAGCTCCCAGCGGGAGGCCCACTAGCCCGGGGTCTTAGTGGCGAAGGTCAGGTAGCCTGTGTGGCCCACGGCCTCCTTCATGGGTGTGCCGCTGCGGAAGGGACCGGCGTCGGGCCCCAGGCTAGCCCCCAGGTCAGGCGCAGGCAGGCTGACGGTGCGCACGTTGTACAGCTGCGGGAGCACCTCCAGGGTGCTCAGTTCCGAGAAGCCGCGGGCGGCCAGCGCCTGGCAGGTGCGCTGCACTTGCTCGATGCACGGCGAGAAGGAGCAGAAGCGCCCACCTGTGGGGAGCCAGGCCCGGGGTCAGAGGGCAAGAGGGCATGGGTGCCACGTGGCTGAGGGCTGCCCCGCCCCAGCCCCCCGGGCGGGCAACAGGCCGTGGGTCCAGACCACGGTGGAGCCGTGGGCAGAGAGCCAGTGGCATAAGAGCTCCCCTGGAGCCACGTGGAAGGGATCGCTTAGGCCGAGCCCAGAACCCTGACTTCATCTGGACTTCAGCACTGCCACCTTCCACTTCCACAAGGAAGCCAAGGGTTGGGGCTGGGACGAATCATGGGGTCAGGGTCAGGGCAGAGCCTTGGCACGGCAGCTGCCAGAGCACTGCACCCAGAACAGCTCCAACCACCCAGGGCGACGGCGGCGGGGGAAGGGGTTTGCAGGTGGTGGGAACTGCTGCTGTCACAGGAAATTAGAGGCTGTCACCTACTCGGGGGAACAGGAGGCGCCTACTCTGAGCAGCGCCTGACGGCCAAGGATGACGGGGTGCAGGCGGGAGCCGACAGCCCCTTCCTGCCACCTTCCACCAGGGCCCACCCGCAGTGTCCCTCAGCCTGGCCCGGGTCCAGCCCACGTCCCTGTCCTAGCAGGGAAGCCTCGGCGGGGAAAGGGATGTAGCCGGGCGAGTCCTCAAATGGCCCCGAGGCCTGGTCATCTCAGCCACACCTGGGGACCCAGACCCCCCAGACTGGTCTTCAAGAAGGTGTAGGCTTGGAGGAGGGACCAGGAGTCTGAAGCCAACTCAGAAAGGGTGCAGAGTCATTCCCAAGAAGGGACCCGACCCCTACGCGTACTGCTAGGAAAACAGGCCCCACCCGGTGAGGGACAGAGCCTGGGGTCGGGCTCACAGAAAAGCAGGCGAGCCACTGGAAAGTGCAAGGCCCACAAGTAAGTTGGGAACCTCTGGGACCGAAACGAGCAGACACAGCAAGAGCACAAAGGAGGGGGCTTACAGGAACACGGGGGGTGGGGACGACAGACGGCGTGGCTCCCGGGGGCTAGCCACCAGGAAGGAACCTTGGCAAGAGGAGGAAGGCCTGGGAGTGTGACCCCCTGCACTTGGCCCAGGCTGGGCGGCTGGCTCCGGCCTCCATGGGACTGGGACCCAGGCCTGCAGTGTCTGGGGGCAAAGCTGGAAGGCATGGAGGTGTAGGGAAGCGGGGCCCACCGTGGCAGAGCCCAGGGACACAACGGGACCCACTGGGAGCCGTTGCCTAGAGCGCCTTGCTCTTGGAGAAGCGCCTTGGCACCTGTCTTTCGGAGGGGCAGCCCTTCCCCTGGGGCACCCTGGGCTCCCTCTCTGCCCTCCCCAGCTGCACTGCTCAGCGGGGAGGGGGGAAGGGGCCCTGGCTGCCTGGGCTGGCTCCTTCTCCAGAAAAGGGAAAAACCCAGGGCCTCGCCAGCGCCTCCCTGGCAAAGAGCCAACCTTCCCTCCTCCTTCCCGCCTCCACATCCAGCATCTTCCCTAAAAGAGGCCGGTTCGCAGACTTGTGGCTGGGGGGAAGGGAGACTCTGCTGGCAAGGGCTGGGGTCAGGGGCTGACCTCCGGCCTCTAAAATGTCTCATGGCGTGGAGCCCCCCTCTCACTGAGATGGAGCCGCTACATTCCCCAGGGAACGCAGACATCTCCCACATCCGGGGGCGAGCGGGGCAAGGCCAAGGAGCAGGGGCTCGGCTGGAGCCGCCTTCTCCCCAGATCTTACTCCTCCCAACCCCACCCTCTCGCGGGTTGACTTCCCGTGAGTCCTCAGCCAGTCTGACCCACCCCGATTTCGGGCCAAAAGGGGTCCTGGCCTAGCCAGGCTGTGCGGCCCGGTGGTTTCTGACCCCTCTGGGCTTCAGGTGACCCACACCCAAGGCCGGGTCCAGGAGCTCAGTCCCCAGGGCTGCACCAGAACCCCCACTGTACCTTCAACCTTGAGGGCATCCCAGGCATGGCCCACAGCCTCCCAAGGAGACGGGATGTCCAGGAAAACAGCATCTGCCACGTGGCTCACACCAAAGCCGCTGCGGCACACGTCCTGGTTGCGCACCGTCACCCAGCGGCCCACTCGATGCTCCTGGAACTCCTCCCGAGCCTTCTCCGCCCGCTGCTGGTGGAACTCCACGGTGTGCAGGTGGCCTGTGGGCGCGATGGTGCGGATGATGGCGTGGGACACGGAGCCGCTGCCAGTGCCTGGCGGGACAGGACGGGTGTCAGGCAGGACTGCTGGGGACACTCAAGAAGCAACTCCACCCTCATCCTGGAAAGACCCACACAGGGCCCATGGGGACAGACGATCCCAGTTACTCATGTGCATCACTCCCAGAGCTGCCCGCCAGGTCCCGGCTGCCCAGGGTCTGGTTAGCTGGGGCTGCACTGGGGCTGGGTGGAGACAGGACCTGGGGCTTATTTCCTGAGTCTGCTGTGGGCCCAGGGGGGAGAGTGGAAGCCCTGCCCAATCCCAGCGCCAGAGGCCCCGTAGGGTCTAGACAGAGCAGAGGGGGCAGCATGGGCCTGCCCCCAACCCTCCACCTGATGGCTGGTCCTGAGCCCCCTCCCCCCGAGCTCCTGGCCCACTTAGATCGGTCTGCCCCCTGCCCCTCACCTGCCTCCACCACACAGGGTGCGAGGGTGGGGCAGCCCTGCCCTCGCTCTGCGCAGCCTCATGGTGCCATGACACGGCAACCAGCCGGCCACACAGCTCCAGTCTTCCGTGTCATCGTCCCCTAGTTCTCTTCCAACTGCACTGGCCACTCCTCAGCTGCCTTCAGCCGCCCCCTGCTTGACTTCTTACCTGGCCACGCCCCCGCCATGACCTGCCCTCGCCCCATGGTTTCCAGTGCCAGTCTTGATGAACACTCCCTAAAGCCATGTCCAGACTCCTACCTAGTGTCCAGTGCACGCGCACCACCTCCCCTCAACAGCCGACCAGCAGTCGGCATGAACAAGGGCAAAGCTGGATCCGCTCCAATCCCAAACCCCTCCCTGCCAAGCCTTTCCCAGCCCAGTCAGCGACACCCAGAGCTCAAACAGGCACCTCAGAGGTGCCCTTGACTCCGCTCTCCACCCCCCATTCGACCCACTGGGAACTTGTGTCTCCCCCCCTCCATCCCCACCCTGCCACCACACTGCCTGGGCCCTCCCTCCTGGCTTTGTAACCACCAACAGACGGGCCAGCTGCCTTCTATCCTGCCTCAAACACAGCAGAGTCAGACCCCTGATGGACCTCTAAGCTGTGCCCATTTCCTCCTGACCTCACTGCCTGCTCCTGCCACGCTGGCCTCCTTGCTGGGCCCCTACTCAGGGCCTTTGCACGGCTCGCCCTTGGAGGGCACTCTCCCTTGGCTCTTGGTAGTGCCTCCTTCTCATCATCCCCAGCTGAACGTCCCCTTGTCAGAGGTCTTCCCTAACCAACCTAGCTGAAGGGACCCCGGGAGTCACCCTCAAACACGTAGCCCTGTTTTACAAGCCTCACAGCAATCAACAGCACTGAACCGGTGACACTGGTGAACCGGGCTTACTGTCTGCTCGGGGAAGCAAAACCCCAGCCTGTCTTGTTCACAGCTGGGCCCACGATTCCTAGACTGGGAGCGGGCACACCGGAGCCCAGAAGCATGCCCACTACACAGACAGTAGCAGGGGATGGCACCATCTTGAAGTCCTGCAGTCCATCTGCCACCTGCACCCCATGTCCCCTGTGGCTGAGCAGTTGGCCTCTGCCCAGCCCCTGCCCACCGTCTGGCCTATAGCCCAGGTTCTACATCTGACTCTTCCCATTTCCAAGTGTTTGGCTGGGTAACAGGAACCATCCAATTGTCCACATGGAGAGGAACAAATGGCCTGAAGTCCTCAGAAAGTTGGAAGCAGTGATGTTGGGAACTCTTCGTAGCCTTGGAGCCCAGCTGCGCAGCCCATGAGGAATACGCTGGAAATCTAGGTGCATGTGGGCCTGGGCTGTTTTGGCTGGGCTGTATGCTTCAATCTCCATCCCAGGTAGCCCCAGCACCCATGTGTATGTGTGTGCGTGTGTGCGAGCTAGGACCGACCTCAGGCCTTGGACTCAGTGACAGTGGTGCTGGCCAAGGATGAGCTTGAGGCAGTCTCCCCACCTACAACGAGCACCTCAGAGCAGCCCTGGCCTCCCTCCAGGAAGGGGCAACTCTCAGCCCTGTCACCAAAAAGGTGGGGAACGGCCAGTCAGCACCTAGGCCAGAGGCGAGTGGCACTCTGGCCCTGCCCCACCAAGGCAGGAAGGGCTCTCACTGAACACCAGCTCCTCAGGAGGGAAACGCCGGCCCCGCACCACCAACTCTCAACCAGATCTGCTGCTTCTCACTCCCTGTGGTCAGCTCCCCAGAAACGTCCTGGCAAAAGAGAGGTTGAGCAACCATGCCGCCTTGTCCTCAGGAAGGGCAGGCTGGAGGCTGTCTGGATGTTGGGTCTGATCTCCACCTTCAAGTCAATTTTTCAGAGTTAGAATTGAGGTAGCCCAAAGAACTCACCGGATTCACAGACCACAGAACCAGGCCGAAGCTCCAGCATCATGGTGAGCAGAGCAATGTCGGTGGAGTAGAGGATCTGGGTGCGGTGTGGCAGGTTCAGTGTCCAGAGCTCAGGCGTGGGGTGCAGCACATACACCCAGCCACCTCGGCCACAAGTCACCTTGGAGCCGAAGGGGCGGCCGATGAGATCTACTGAGTGCCGCAGGACACCATGCCGGGTCTGGGTCTGTGCCCCACGCTGCACACGCACTGCTACCATTGCACCATGGCCCAGTGACAGGATGGCCGTATCACCCTCTTTGATCAGCTCCTCATACGCCACGAAGCTCATGGTGTTGCTATCTGGCAGGTGCCTGGGACCTGGGAGGAAGTGTGTCAGCATGAGCGTGTAAAGGCGCCAGGAGGGTGCACCTGGAGTCTGGGTAGAGGGCTGTGAGGCCCAGAACCCACGCGGTGGGGGTGGGGTGGCTGGCTCTGTCCCTGGCTGCACCCTGGCCTGACATGTTAAACCCTCCTTGGTCTGAGTCGTAAGACACAAGTCACTAGTCCAAATCACAGACAGAGAAACTGAAGCGGGGCCATGGCAGAGGACGGGCCCAAGATTCCCCGCCAAGCAAGGACCAGGAGACCAGGAGACTGGCTCCCATGCTCCAGATGCGAGATGAGGAGCCGGCCACCGGCGGGGCAGCGGCCAGTGGTCTGTGCTATCACCTCCGCGCCGGGCTCCGTTCCGCAGAATCCCCCCCCTCTCCTCAGTCTCCCCCCAAACGGGCTTCCAGGGGGCCGGGCGGCAAGGGGGACGCAGGAGAGGTAAGGGCCCTCCGGAAGGGGTGGGGGTGCGCCGGGCCCGGCCGGCACAGGGCGGGGGGGGGGGCCGCGCGGAGTCTCACCCGCCACGGGCGGCGGGGTCCCACTCCCGGACGCTCAGCACGTGGCGCCGCGACAGCGGCTCCGCACTTCCGGCTCCGGCCTGGCGCGCAGCGATGACGTCGCGGCGCCCCACCCCCCGCGCGGGATGCCGGGACCCGCGGGCAGCCCCTCCTCGCCGCGGAGCGCGCCTCCGGGGCGGCTTTCGGCCCGCTGCTGCTTCCCTGTTTATACAGCTCGTGCAAAGGACAAACGAGAAGTTCCAGCGTCCCCTCGGCCGGGCTGCTGTGGGCGGGGACGAGGGTGCGCACCGTAACGCCCCCTTCTCCACAGCCCCGGAGTTCCCGGAAAGGCCAGCTCTCTGCCCAAACCCCTCCGAGGACGCTTTGCCTTGGACATGTTGTCACCGCAAACCTCTCTGGGAGCATCTCAGACTGGGCCCCAGGGTGAATTCCAGAAAGTGAAATTGCAGATCGGAGGGTTGTCCCAGAAGTCTCTGGCCGGAAGGATTGCCGAAGTGGCCTTAGGCCAGGCCCGGCCTCCCGTGCGGGGCACATCCTCCACTTCGGGGGGAGGTTAGTGGTGGTGAGATGCAGGAACTGGGCTCACGCTGGGGTCGGTGAGGGCCAGGTGAGCAGCCTGAGCCGGGAACTGGGGGAAGGGCAGCGGGAAGACAAGGGCAAAAAAGGGAAGCGGCAGCCCTGTTCCGTCTCAGCAGGGCTGACTCAGAGCCAGTTCCTCCGTAGAGGGTGTGTGTGGGGGAGGGAAGGACAATAGGGGATGTGGAATGCCTTCCTCCATCACCCAGCTCCCAGCAACCAGGGCTTGTCGTGTTAGCCCTGGGGACCCGAAAGGGGATAGAGACTCGCCAGCCCACCCCTGCTACCCAGGAGCTAACTCTGGGCCCTAAACCAGAGCCAGCTAGCAATGACCCTGGGCCACACCCCAGGCCCAGATTGCTCCAGCCTGGCAAAATGGGAGTGGCCAGGCCCCTGCAGAGCCAGCCTGCCCTTGGGGCACTCTGAGCTCTCCCTCTTCTGGGGCCAGGACTGCCACAGTATCTGTGGCCCTTGCCATGGGCCCCTCAGAGTCCATGGTAGAAACCGGTGCCCGGCCTCAGCTCCACCACCCCTACCCTGCCCCTACCATGCCTCTGTCTTGGCTGGGTCTGGGTTTGGGAACCTCCCTGGGGGGTAAAAAGGTAAGGGGACTTAGGTGGCCTGCCATTCCCTGTGGGTTCATGTTCCTCTGGGGCTGCCTGTGTGGCTCATCATGGCCTCGCTGCCTCTTGCTCTCAACATTGAGACAAGCCAGCCCCATCTATGGCTTGCCAGCCTCTGTTCCAGGTGATCTGCTTCGCTCCTTTGGTGATGCACCTGACTGAATCACCCCCTAATTGCTCCCCTGGGAGATTTGAACTTTCCACTTCTGGGGGTTCCTCTTCCCCAGCCCTCTCAGCTGCAGTATGGAGCTGAGGTTGGGCGCCTACTAAGAGCCTAAATTAGGACTTGGTGACTCCGCAGTGGTTTCCTGTGGTCCCAACTTCCCCTTGCCTCTCTGTCCGTGCCTGGCTGGTCAGCTCCTCCAGTGCCCCTTCCTCCAGGCAGCCTACCCAGGTTGCCCATCTGTTCCATCTGAGCCTGCCGCAGGCCTCAGTCTGTGTCCTCAAAGCACCAGCTTCCCCCAAGCTCCAGCTGATTACCCAGGTTAGGTGGGCACCTTGCCTCGGGCAGAGTTTGTATATTGGGGGTCCCTTAACAAGAACTGATTCTATATAAGCCCAGCTAAGTGTCATTGTATTAAATTCTCTCCAGAATCCTATGGAGCAGGGGTAGGGGTGGGGGGATCACTTCACAGATGGGAAAACTCAGATTCAGAGAGGTTAGGTAGTTGCCTAAGGTCGCAGAGCCAATGGGGCCAAAGTGGGACTGGGATTTAAAGCCAGTAAATCTGACTTCAGAGAACCAATGGTAGATTTGAATAAAGGTGAGAACAGGCAGGAAAAAGACCCTGGAGAAAAGGGTCAGAGTCACCCTGGGGGAAAGGGAGAAGCTGAAGATGCCCCCTGGGGGAGGCTGCACCTGACAGGGATCAGGTGACCCGAGGTCCTCCCCTCTCTGACTAGTCCAGCCTCCTGCCTCATAGCGCTCTGTGACCCCAAAGCAGCTCCCACCCCTCTCCTGACCCCAACCAACTTCCCCTGCAGTTCTTCAGAACTTAGGGACAGGGCACCAGGAGGAAGAATTGCCCACCCTGACTGCCTTCTTTTTAAAAAGATTTTATTTTTGGGCGCCTGGGTGGCTCAGTTGGTTGAGCGACTGCCTTCGGCTCAGGTCATGATCAGGGAGTCCTGGGATGGAGTCCCACATTGGGCTCCCTGCTCAGCAGGGAGTCTGCTTCTCCCTCTGACCCTCTTCCCTCTCGTGCTCTCTATCTCTCATTCTCTCTCTCTCAAAAAAATAAATAAAATCTTAAAAAAAATAAAAGATTTTATTTTTAAGTAATCTCTACACACAACATGCAGCTCAAACTCATAACCCCAAGATCAAGAGTTGCATGCTCTATCCACTGAGCCATCCAGGTGCCCCATACCCTAACTGCCTTCTGAGGACAGACTCTGAGAATGACCTCTGGTCCCCTGCTTGGCCGTCCCACCTGGCCTACCTCTGCAAGCCCAAAGCTGCAGCCCCACTGGGCAGGCTGAGTTCGATGGATGAAAAGCTGGGGACTCCATTGAAGCTCCCCTCCCCCTCCAGGGCCAGCTGGTTAATGTGCAACCAGGTGCGCTTTCTGAGGAACCTGGACCATAAACTCATTGGGTGATGTCACCCAGCTTCTTGCCCAGACGCTGCCAAACCGGCTCATTGGGCCCTGGGGAAAATGGAGGGTCCACAGGCAAGGGCTGGGTCACTGGGGCAATGTTATTCTAGCTGTGGTGGAGGCTGGCACCACCCAGGCTTCCCCACCCCTTGCTCCTCTGCTCTGGGGTCACCCAGGCTCCCAAGGAGTCCCTGCCTAGTAGGGGGCTGCCCGGACATTTGGGTCTAAAGGCCTGGAAGATCTCCTCCCCTTCCCCCATCACAATGCTGTTGACCATGCATGCTGTCAGTCTAGTCCAGCCTAGGCTTGGCCTGCCCCAGGGGTCCCCAGGATGGACTCCAGGTTAAGTTCGCTCACAGCTAGGCACTCCCAGACCATTGAGGGTTTGCAGGACCTCTGACCTGTCTCTTCTGTCACCCACCTTCTGATCGTCCTTTGCTTCTCTGCAAAATGGATAAAACACCCATGTCAGAATGCTGAGGATTGTTGGAGCCTCCGGCAGGAGTATCACCCAGGCCTGACCTTTAGCAAGGACCTCCCCTCTCCAGTGTGGGCTATGCTTGAGGAAGGAGAGGGGAGCAGGACCTTCCCTCCTTCCACCCAGCAGGTCAGGCCCTTAGTGGCCTGAGGGTGGAGGGGGGTTCTTCTGAGAAGCTGCAGAGGCTGAAGACAAAGAGGAAGCCCTGAGTGCCCCCTTCCCCATGTCTGAAAGCCAAGTCGGCCTCCAGATTTCCAGAAACAGAAACTTGAGCCCATCAGGCTTTTGGAGGTGGGAAGGTGAAGAGGGCAACTGCGGATTATTTCTAAAATTGGAGGAAGGGGCTGCAGGGAGCACAGTGTGCAGAAATTCCAGGCTTAAGGGACACCTGCTATCTGGGCAGCCTGGGGCCATTTGCCTTTTTGCTTTGGTTTGTTTTATGTGCCTAAGAAAATGCCAACTGGGAACAGGTCAAAGCATGCTCAGGTGAGCGGGAGAAGAGGCAGGAGTCCCATGTGTGGTAAGCACAGGGACTGCCTATCGAGACTCCGCACCCTTTGATGTGCACGAAGGCAGAGGTGAAGGGACTTGCTCCTCCTTTGGGTCTTTGCTCCAGTGCCCATTCCCCAGAGGCACCAAAAGACACTGGAATTCCTGGCGCTGCCTCTGCCCTGCCCCCACCCCAGCAGCACCCATCTTCTCCCAGATCCTGACAGTATTTCCTTCTGGTTCCCGTGGCTGCTTGCTCACGGCCAGCCTTCCAGCAGCAGCGTGATGTTCACCTTGCTGCCTGCCTGCAGTGCTCACTGTGCATTCCTTGGAGGGATTCTGTGAAATATACACAGAGCTAAGGGTTCTCCTTTCTTGCTTTATTCACGGAACAATGTATGGTGGACATTGACACACAAGCTCCAATTCACTTCTTTTTTCTTCTCTTTTCATTTTTTTTTAAAAGAATTTATTTACTGCATGGAGGAATTAACACTACTCCAAGCTAAAAGCAGACCTCCATGGTTACATTAGGTAAGCCGTGAGGTTTTTAAACTTATGACAGGGAACAGAAGGGAAATTCTACTCATTGCAAGGAAATCCTCACTTAAGCTTCAGTGAATCAAAAGCACTTAAAACCCATGAAACTGGGGCGCCTGGCTGGCTCCGTCAGTGGAGCATGCGACTCTTGATCTCGGGGTTGTGTTTGAGCCCCACGTGTCAGGCTGAGATTACTTAAAAAACGATTAACAACAACAACAACCATACAACTTCAGCTAGTTCTCCTTAGTCAGTCCAGTCTCTATGAGGAACTGGTGCATGTTCTTGCCCTGGTGACCCTGCAGCTGAATTACTTCATATTCTGGATGCTCATTACATCACCATTGTAGGCAAGTTTCCTCTTAAACACCTTCATTAGTTTCTTTTTATTATAATCGTCAGTGACTTGGAAGTAGTAAGGGTTTTCCTGCCATTTTTCTGTTGAATTCTCATATGGATATGATCCTCAGTGCCAGCAGGAAGCAGATCATCACTGTCATTTGCATTAGCAAGGGGTTCAGAAGCTGGAGGTTCTGGGTAGCAGACATAGGATAGGATCCCCTTTCCTTGGTGGAAATGGCCTGCGGAAGGCCTCGTGGGAGGAGGCAGGTGGATCTTCAAGAGGTGAGGGGGTTAAGGGGGAGGCTGCTGAGTCTTTGCTGGTGGCTCAGTGACTAGGGGTCTAACTCATTTTTTAAAATAGCTGTGTAATACTTCACGCTGGGGACATGCCTTCCTAGCCCTGGCCAGTCCCCAAGTGATGGGCATCGAGTTCTATCCAGGTTCATTTGTATGTTTTTCCGACTGCACATCTCTATCTGAAAGAGAAATGAGACTGTCCTTTGTACAGGCTGGATTCCTAGAAGTGGGAGTGCTGGGTCATGGAGTACAAGCATTTTTAATTTTAATAGATACTGCCAAATTACTTTCCAAAAAGGATGTAGCCGTTCACAGTTGCAGGCAGTGTGTGAATGCCTGTCTCTCCACATTCCAACACTGGCTGGTGTCAATCTTTCACTTTTTTTTTTAAGATTTATTTATTTATCTATTTGAGAGAGAGAATGAGAGAGAGAGAGCATGAGACACGGGAGGGTCAGAGGGAGAAGCAGACTCCCTGCTGAGCAGGGAGCGGATGCGGGACTCGATCCGATCCTGGGACTCGATCCTGGGACTCCAGGGTCATGATCTGAGCCGAAGGCAATCGCCCAACCAACTGAGCCACCCAGGCGCCCAATCTTTCACTTTTTTGCCATCTGGGTGTACTGGGGGCAGTGGAAGGAAGGTATGTATAGTCCTTGTTTTAATTTGAATGATTCTTATTTTTA